TGCTTCAAAATATGTTAAACAGTTCACGGCAACTATTAATAGTAAAAGAAGGAATGAAGTCAGCCCCAGGAGATAATTTTGTTTTAGTTTCTTTATAGCTTCAGCGATTTTTTCGATACCTTCTCTATGCCCGCCAAAAATCATGGCAGTTCATTTTAATATTCGTAGGTTGAACGGTTGAGCAACAGTCACTGATGCAATCGGCAATCATACCTGCAACCACTACAGGGACGGAGACATATGTGTCGTTGTGTGAGAGGTCGCGTATTCAAATAATTTGGGTAGTATCGCGCGTTTGCTGTTTCGCAAACCTCCAAAAATCTTTTGGGCTTCGGTTCAAGCAACGCTCTATTTGGTCAAGGTTTAAGCGCTTATCTTTATAGTACAACTTTTAGCTAGAGCACGATAAATGCTAAACTGAGTATACCATAAGGTATTGCCTGTTCGTTTAAAGCATGTGAAAGTGAATTTGTTTTACGCAAACAAGTTTTTTAAGTTTTAGGGAATCCATTCGGGATAACTTGAAGGCTTGAAAATCCGCTGAGGCACAAAATAATGAATCACATCTTTAACAATTCACGAAAACGGCTGAGTCAGGGTTTCTGTGTCAGTAATTGCAAGAGCCCCGCTCCAATCAAAGTTTTTGAAGTATCTGTGCATGCTCAGATAATATACTTGGGCATAGTTGTAATTAGAACAACTACGGTATTGTGGCTTTTTTCGTGGAAGGCAGAAGATAACCTTGAATTGTGGGTGAAACTCACTTATTCGCACTATGTAATTTATAACAGGGATCTCAGAATCGACTGATATGTTAGATAAAACAAGGTCTAGACGATTTCTGCTCTACTTTTAATTAGATTAAGTCGGTCAAGACAACAGTAGTCCATGAGCGACAGTAACCATAAAGTAATCTTTGATGTTATAGGATTGTTGGCAATAGCAAACGACATCGGCCAGTCCACTCCTGGATGATTAAAATCTCCATATATCTGTACTTTGTATTTCTGAAAATTTAGTTGTTTACTAAGTGTCCACCTTACAAAAATAGGTATGGACGTCTTATGCTCATACTATTGCCATTCAATTATCCCTGTGTCCACCCCATGAATTCCCGTAGACAATTCATGGACCATTTCTGGACCGCTGGTTTGTCATAGAATGGCCATAACAACGATAAAGGAATCTCCCGATACAAAAACGTTTTTCATTCCTTCATATTGCCATGCTATGGCCCTGGTGGTCTATGCACACGCTAGTGCTTCTCGATGGTTTGAGCTACAGATTGGTAGATTAATAAAGTGATTCCGGTTAGATGTTTTCGTTAGGTGTAGGGAGGTGGCCGAGTTAAAGAGTTGTTAATTAAGCGCCGGGCATCAATATGTTGCATTGATGTCTAGATACATGTCCAACTTCAGGGAATATTCAATGTGGCGGAGGAAGGGTTCAATATGTACCGAAATAATTCTTACCTGTTGTTATCTTATTCTGTTATCTGTTATCTTATTCTAAATACGATAACAGCGCCACCTTTTAGCGACGAGTTGAAACATGAAAGTTGCTTTGAATGGCTAATGCTAGATATACTTAATGTTCCCAGAGTACCGAAACTCCCAGGCTCGAGGTGCCAAGAAGGCGGTTCAATCTTTTCTTTACTGAGGTCAGCATGGGCTTTTAGAAACCATTTTTTGCGTAAAAACAAACAGAAAAAATGAAAGCCGTTTACAACTCCCTGTAACACCGAATTAGAGCCCAGCTCTTGAGGAGGAGGGGAAGGTACGGAGAAGAGGATATGCCCCTCCTCCTCTCTTGCTCGCCTTTTAATTAGGGGAATATTTTCCGCTAGATATAGCGGGGAAATTGTTTCGCCAAACTTAGCGGGGAAACTTTACCGCTAAATTTAGCGGGAAAATATTTTCCATTAGACTTAGCGGGGTAATTTTTTCGCTACATTTAGCGGGGAGATTTTCCGCTTTAGCGGGGAAATTTTTCCGCTAGATTTACCGAAGAAACTTTTTCCGCTAGATTTATCGGGGAAACTTTTTCCGCTAGATTTAGAGGGGAAAATTTTTCTCTAAATTTAGCGGGGATATTTACCTATAATACACCGCGCGGTTACGCCGACGGCGACGGCGAGGGAGACGCCGACGCCGCTCAAGCCGGAAACGGGCGCCCAAGAGCTGCGGTCTAAAAGCTCCCTTTGTAGTAACGTTAGTTGGAGGTCAGCACAAAATGACTGGCGCATGATGTTTGCTAGAATCTTTAGTTTACAAGGCTTTGCGACTGAAATAATATTGTTTTTATACAAACATGTCTCACCGGTGGTTTCAGAAAGCGCGTGTCGACCTGGGCGCGTCCTAGCTTCGGTAGTAATTCGCTGCGCGTCCACTTGGGGGTCGGGGGTGGGCATCCCTGAAATCCCTTTCGCCGCATATGTTTCGGAGCCCAAATGGCCGATTAACATGAAAATAGAAGGGTCGCAGCGGACGCTGTCGAATGCCATACTCCCGAACCAATAGAAGCAACCGTGCTGAACCCCGAGTAGTCGCTGCGGGAGAAATGGCGGCGTTGCGATCGCTATTATTTCGGTTCTTGAGTACGAATCGGTACCCCACTTTCAGGGCAGGCTCTATGGAGGTTTCCTAACGGAGTTTTTCTAGTAATATTAGTCACTCTGGACCTCGTAGCTACCCCCTGCAGACTGAATGGCTTTTCTAAGGACCCCGTTGTGCAGACCCTGTGTGACTTCTCTGCAGACCCCATAAGGACCCGGACCCTGTGTAGACCCTGTATCGCTTCCCTGCGGACCCCGTAGGTATATACCCTGTAGACCTTGTATGAGTTCTTTGCAGGCACCTTATGGATCTTGGGTAGAAACCCTATGGGGTCTACGTGAACTCTATAGGGTGTCTTAGTATAAATAGGGTATAGGATGGGATATAGGGTGGTTCAAAGCAGAGATATTTAAGAGTGAATATATCAACAAATGAAAACGCGCTTTCGCCCTTCCATCACTGCAGTCAAATTCGTATGTTGCCATTTGATGGGATAGACATAAAAACTGAACTAAAAAACATTTCTTTATATAATTAAGAATGGTAATCTGCAAAATATAAATGTAACGTATATGTGGCGATACGTTCCACTTTTTTAAGTGTAACGGGAACGAGTTTTTTTTTCACATATAGAACTTGTAACGGGAACGCGTTCCAAAAATGAGAAAAAACGATGAAGGAGCTTTCGTTTTTTTTTTTTTTTTTTGTTTATGAACGTGTACAACACTGGTCTACTAGAATAGAGGGTGGGGTAGAGTTGGGACCGGCGCGGCTCGGCAATTGGAACTCGTGAGGCTGCGTGTGTCGACAAAAATCACGGCGCGAATGCTCGCGAATTCCGCGACTTAAGCGCGAAACACATGTACGACGAGAGCGTTCGATCCGACGTCCAATCCGACGTCCGATCCGACGTCCGATCCGACGTCCGATCCGACATCCGGTCGCCGCTCCGACTCGCCGCAAACGATTCTTCGAGACACCGGCTTCCGACCGAGGTTACGACGCGTCGTTCCGAAGGTTGCGATCGGCTCCGCCCAGTTCTGTAAGGGTGTGTTCAATGTCAGGTAACCTGTTCTCTTGTTGTAACTGTAGGTCTCTTTGTGAAAGTTAAGTGATGGCTGTAGTCTGCCTTAGATTTTTGGGTGTCTGAAGATTCGTGGAAGCAAAGAAAGTAGCCGAGTTTCAAACGTCCCTCGTTCTGTGTGTTTTTCTTCGACTAAAACTTGTGCTTTTAGTACCACAGTCTCGTGCACAAAAAAAATAAAAATAATGGGTGTCCACTAGCTCTCCTGCACCCGACTGTTACAAAGCGAGGACAACAGAAAATAAACCCTCAGATAAGTAACCAAAAATGTTAACGAGATCCTATTCTTCGTAAATATATTGTTTTTATACTTTTAGAATTTCCGCTTGGAAATAAAATACAAAATACCACACTGGACGAAAAAAATGACCGCAGCTCCACGTGGTGAATGATGTTGATTGGGGCGAAGCTCCGGTGGTGCTTGTCTGCGTAGACGCTGAGCCGCAGCATGCCGAGCCTTTCGTTCGTTCTCATCCATGTCAGAAAGAGAATTTGTGGTATGGAACGTGGTTATATACGCATTTGAGCATTTGACCGCAGCGCCCTCTCCTGTATAGGCTTGAGCGGCTACATGCAACGTTTCATCCATGACATCCTCAGCTCTTGAGTTACTACCACATTACAGAGCCCCCTACTCGTCCCGCAGCCGTGGCCGAGTGGATAAGGCGATGGACTAGAAATCCATTGGGGTCTTCCAGCACAGGACTGCGCAAACATTTATTTTTTATCTTTTTTTTTTGCCCTGCACGAGCACGTGAGCACACGAGCACGAGCACCAGCAAGATCGATGTGAGGACGGACGACGGACGGACAAGAATGACCCTAAGGAGCATCGCCCCTAAAAAAGGAACGCCGTTCCTTTTTTCGTTCCAGTTGAAATGTAACGAGTTTCCGTTCCAGTTCCACCGATGCAAAATGGAACGGCGGCGTTACTGGAACGCGTTCCTCCTCAAAGGAACGCGTTCCAGGAACGCCGTTACTTGGAATGCCGTTCCGTACAACACCGCAGTAGACTGTAGAATTGTCTCCAGCCCTCCTCCTTTTTTGTCATCTCACATGTTCTCTGTGATGGTTTAATCCCACCCTCTTCAGTTCAGTTCTGCAAGTCTAAGCCAAAGTTCCGAAGAACGCAATCTTCGGTGTTCTGTGCCTTCGCGATGTAAATATGAACATTGCGATGTAAAATCCCGTTGTAAATATAGGAATATCGAATTCGCATAGTTTTTCCTGATGGTATTATCCTGAAGTCTCAATGGCACGGAAATAAAGTCAACCTATCATGATTACATTTATGTATCTTCGAACGAACAATATACGTCCTTGAGTAAACATAAATACGAGTTTTTTTGTTTTTTTTTCAGATGTCTAAACAAGAGGAAGCGAGGAATGAAAACGCGAAGCTGGTAAAAAGAATACAAGAACTGGAGAACTGTCAGGTACAGGCAACTACACTTAACTAGAATAATATTGAATTGTTTCTTCCTTTTTTAAGCTACCTTTATTTCGGAAGAACAACTCACATTACATGTGGTGTAAAAGGTGCTTACGAAACTAATTTCAGCTTGAGGCGGATCAATATCGCATTAACCTTGAAGACGACGTTAAGGTCTACAGGTCTGTGCTGCAGGTAGGTTCAAAATTTTACTTGAAAACTTCAAACACTTCATAGAGGTTGCCTTAGGAATTAAAGATAATAGACACCATGATACCCTGCAGAAATGTTTTTTTTTGTTGACCAAAAATCGTCGTTATAAATTACGTTTACATTCATGTCTTTTTGGGAAGATGACTTATCCACACGCAATTATGACAGGTTCAGGTGATGCCACCCAAAAAACAATGACGGGGCATTCACCCCTACCCTACACGGCCACCCAAGCATAATTTACTTATTCATTAATGCAACCTCCTTGAGGTTTCAGCATGATGAGCACTTTGCTGAAGCAAAGTAGACAGCAGTCTTGTCTAAATTTTAACACGCCATAAATGAAGAAACCATTCAAAGTTGAATCCCTATGACCTAGAAGAAAAAAAAGAAAAGGCGTAGGTAGGTAAGGTGCTATCTTCTGTAGCAAAACATCTGAAAACACTCGTTGTGTCCTCAGCTAGTGTGAGGGGCACTTCTTTACATGATTACCCATCAATGCCCGAATAAAGGGTCGTTCCCACTACAGTTGAGACTAAAGCCAAAGCTACAAACGCTATACTCCGTTCACCACTAGCAGCTCAGCCTTCAACGCGGGCTCGCTGGCTTCCGCGGTGGTTTGGTTGCGTGTGCCCCCGTGTTCACACTTGTTTTAGCAAAGGCAGAAAGCTCGAGCTGAAGGCTGAGCTTCTAGTCTCAGCGTAAGGGCGTACTGAGTATTCGCGGCGAGAAGTTTGGGTATCAGCGCCTGGTAGAATTTGCTCACAACCCACAGTGAGGATACTTCAACTTCCTCTGCTGGTGCAAGTATGTGCAATTCCAAGCTTCTATGCACTATGAAAATTAAAACATAACCTCGTGGGTAGCACGTGCACTACTCGCAGTGTGGCAGAGCCGTTTATTGGGAGAGTTTGGCCATACATTGGTTCGAATAGGCGAGCATTTCGGGGCCAATTATAGGACTCGAAACTGCCCCTAGCAGTGGTCGTGAGCTCTAAATATGTGACACGACTAATTTAAACCGTTTTCGCGTTGCTAGAGTGAACAGGTACAACTCTCGGTGGCTGAAAACTTGGCGCATGTGAAGTTTTCGTCACGTCCATATTCAACGGCAGAATGAACGAACGTGCGCCCCAGACACAGGGCTGACTTGCTAGAAACAGCGTCTGAGCTGAGACTGGGGGGAAGAAAGCACTGCCAAAGCCAGCGTACGAGCTGCGCGAGGCTCATTGCACGTCTCGAGACACTCGTGGGCCTTTAGACTGTTTTTTTTTTTTTTTCAGTCAGTCTCAGCTAAGACGCTGTTCTACCAAGCCGGCCCAGAGCAAACTGTCACCGAGACTACACCGAGACGCCGAGATTGAACGCTTCAATTTCACGCTTTAAATGCAGTTTTCAATATTGTGACGTCGCGGTCTGCTGACTGGTCGACAGTGTGTTGCCCTTTTAGTTTACGCTCTAACGATGGGGGCAGTATTCGGCGCTGGCGTCGACCTTTGCGCCACCCATAGGCCAAACTCTCCCAATATACGGCTCTGCAGTGTGGAAATCAGACTCGCCCTTAGCGAGCTTCTCACCTCGAACAGCTTGCCCGGGAGATCGGGGCTTTGAAACGTTCTTCTGCAGAACGAGCTCTCGCGCTGGAAAGGCACGTCTCAAAGCCAGTAGCGCGGGCTAGTTTGCGTTTCTAGCCTTAACTGCAGTCTCAGCATAAGAGCTTAAGGAGTATAAGCCGTTGCAAGCATGGCGTTAAAGCCGGAGCCCCCTCCGTGAAAGCACATGCGGCATGGGCGTGACGGCACCTTTCCCTGGCTCGCGAGTGTGAATGCTTTCTCGCTCAAATCGAGAGATGGCCGTGGCAAGGTTGCCTGCTTGCAATCGTCTGAAGCTCTCGTCAGCATCGCGTCGAACGTCTTAGTAGCGTTTCATAACTTGCGTGACGCTGTCAGGCGGAGACGCCAAGACGGGCGCGTTGTACGCTGCAGCGACTTTTGAATGGCTTCGGCGTGTTGTCCGCTTGAGGCGGGCCAGGGATCCACAAATGATCACGCCACGTATACGCCTTGCATAGGTGATGCATAGGACCTCAACAGAAACGAAGTATAGGGGACATAGGTGGAGGTGGAGCTCTTTCGTTTCTCTGGTCAGGCCATGTGCGCTGGGGCCTCGGTGGTGACTTGGCTGGACGAACTCGGGACCGTTCCATGGAGTGCTCTCGGTCCTGATTGGATTGGCAGGGAGGACACAGCATAACGCCCCCTGAACTTTGACGATTCTTCTACACACATGGTACATTAACTGAAGGGCCGATTGATAATTATCCCTCCATCTCCTCTAGACAACTATACCCCCTTCATTGGTGATATACCATGTACCTTCTGTCGTCCATTCAGCTTTATTTCGTCTTATATTATGATAAAAGCTATATATGCGCAGACTCAAGGGTCGTATGAATTTATGCTATATATGACGGATCGTGTTAGAATAATTCCCCCTGAATATACTCGGTTGCTTTTTCGCGTTCAATTCCGGATCGCTACCTGGCCCGACCCCCTTCCCTTTCTCTCTCACTCACACAAACACACACACATACACCGGGTTGAGCGTGTTGGTTAGTAATTCACGATAAGGAAAGAGGAATATTTAAGACAAACAGACAAGACAGTGACCAATATATTCAGCAAAAAGCAAAAACTCTCGGCTGCCACAAAGTCTTTCTTGGGCCGTCTTTCCCGTTTTTTTCCAGCTTAATTAACCCAATTTATTTATTTCAATTAAATATTGAAACCTTTGGTGATGGCGCGGTGATAAAGTATGACATATGTTTACGTAGCTTCTCTTTTTTTCTTTCTCACCAGAGCCTAGAAGATAAAGTCGGTCGCATGTCAAAGGAAGCAGCCACCCGAAGGAGAGTGGAAATGCTCAACGAACGAGTCGAAACGTACCTTGGTCCTTTAGAACGGCTGCTGAACGGCCTGCGTGATGTAGACAAAGAATGAATGACACTCCTTCACTTGTACCTGTCCCCGATTTTGCCTGTATTGAACTGCTGTGTTTCGAGCATTCCAAAACCAACAATTCTGTCGACTGCATGCAAGTGGCCAGAATGCTGTGATTAGACTTGGAGTTTTCAAAAGTACACGTTTTCAGGCGTTAAATAAAATTTGTGGTTTCCAGATATATACATTCTTCGTGCTTCATGACGTGGCTTGCGGATTCTTATCTTGTTCAGAAATCCGAAGTATCTTTTGTGAAGAAAACCTAAAAGATGTTGTGAATTCGGTATCTTCGCGTTAGCACGGTAAACAATAGGGAGTTTTAGTAGATCGTTTTCAAAGGCCCGCTACCGCTACAAGCGCGCGCTTCAGAGCATGCATCGAAGTGGCAGCGCGAGCTCCCGCTACGATTAGCGTAGCCTGAAAACACAATCTACTAAAACTCTCTATTACAGATTTTTTTATAACCTGCCCTATTTAAGACAACGGTATACATAGCGTTTACTACATAATTGCCTCTTGTAATGTGACTGCAAAATGTAAGTTTTAAACTCCATAAGGTTAGTTTTGAATTTGTCTGAAACTCATTAAGGGCATTAGATCTTTATACAAAACTATAGTTTTGTATAGTTTTATGGTTTCATTCAAAAGGTTTACATTCAACTCACTCAGGCGATTTAAAAAACGAGGCACTATATATTTCAATGTCTGATTTCCGTAGTTCGTTCTGGAGTGCGGCACTAACCATGCGTCTGCAGACCTAGTTTCATAAGTAACCTCCCTCATCCTAAGGTTGAAAATAGATATGAATATATTTTCTTTTTGGCAAAAATATATTTTCAATGCAAGAAAAAGTTTATAATAATACTGATTAGTAATCTGTACAATATTCAATTTAATAAATAATGGACTAGTATGACTATTATACTCAGTATTACATATGATACGAACCGCTTTTTTTTGTAGAGTATGTAGCAGTTTTATGCTCGTAGTGGTCGTATTCCCCCATACCAAGAAGCAATAATTATATTTTGAGTAGAAAAAGGAATTATATATAAGGAGCATAACCGAGATCGGGAGGATGTAGAAGTAATTATAGCTTCCAAAAAGAGACAAAAAAATCTTAATTTTTCGTGCTTCTGGGCACCAAATAATATATGTATTCTTGCGTTTTTACCTTTTTATTCCGCGCTATTTCTAACGAGCATTCAGGTGGAACCATGAACAAGATAAGGTAATTGTATTCAATACCGCATGAACATTATAAATCTTTTTAAATATATAGCGCTGAATACGTCTAACTTCAAAACAGTAAAAAGTTTCAATTCATAACCAACGAAAAGTAACGCGCGTCACTTTCTTTTTTTTTATCTGCATGTAACGCCCTCTCTTTTATTTTAACGTAACGTAGGTCCGTTTATGCGTTCCTTTTATTTGCACGTAACAGATAACGTATCCTGTTGCTTTTTCTTTTTTTTTCTTCGGCACCGCGCACTTACGACGCGAGTGCCAGCCGCACGCTGGCGCACCACTCGTTTGCGATCTGCGCGGCCCTCGGTCGTGGTGCCGTGACGTCACACTTTAAGTTCACGGGCCTTTATAGCCCGCTTTAGTGCTGCCACTGCTACGATCTGATGGAACCATTAGGGAGTGTTTGTACACCGGGGTGGCCCCCTCCGTTAAGCCCTCCGCAACGAGGAAGCCGCGACGTGAAAATCCTGATTGGTCGATAGGGTCATGACGTCACAGCCATATGGCATAGGCGACTGTATGGAGGAGCGTACAGTTTCCATCGGTCGCGGAGGAACGGAAAGTTTCCGTTCGTCGACGAGTTCACCCAGTGGCGCTGCGATCCTGGCTTCATTAAGGTCCCTATATTCTAAGCCGTCAACATTCGTCTGTGGAGAATGCGTACCCCGCCGCGGGACCGCCTCTAGGCCGCCGGGAGAGAACACGTGTGCGATGGATGCGGTGCCGTCCACAAGTGCGGGGCGCTCTTCTGAGTCGTCGTCTTCTACGAGTGCGACAGAGCCGTATATGTAGAGAGTTTGGCCATTCGTTGGGAAGTATAGGAGACAAATGAGGAGGCGCCATTGGCTGAAAGCGGGCTGGGCGTGTTCCAGGGCGTCTTCAGAAATTCGAATGTGACCGACCAGAAGCCGGAAATAATACCCTGGCGGTGGTCGCAAAAAACAAACCTGATAACTGCATTAGAGTAACTCTCGATGACTGAAAATATGGTACACGTGATGTTTCAATCACGCTCATCCAAAATGATGGTGGAAGAGTGCGACTAGCGGAACGATCGACATAATCCGTACGCCAAGCACCGAGGGCCGGGAATCTGCCGTCCGGGTGGTCACACTCTGTCTGAAAAAAACAGAGTTGAGCGGCGCATTCGTTTTTTACATCTTTCTTCATGATCATGATCAAAACAACACGTGCACCCTATTTTCAATCACAAAGAGTTACTACATTTTACTCTTACGCGCTTATTAAAACCATTTAGGAACATAGACCTTTGATCAGAACTGTTTCTCGCTATCACCGCCAGGGGATTCTTTTCGGCTTCTGGTTGGTCAAGAGAGCGTGCCAAGCCCTCTTTCCGAGTCTGGTGCAGGCCTTGGCGCTGCCCGCGGCTCCCCATTGACCAAACTCTCTACATATACGGCTCTGGAGTGCGAATGCTGCATCCACGTCTGCTCCTGCTCGTCGACGGGGTCGGCTGCGTAAGACTGAAGCCGAGATGGTGGAGACGAAGGCTAGGCGTGCAGAGGCGATGCGCCACAAGCGGGCCGAGGATTTGAGGACGCTATCGCGTCCCACTCTTAAAGGTGAAGCTTAAGCGTTCTGCGACATTTCTCGGCTCTCATTGGTTGGAGAGGTGATTGACGTGTGAAATGTTGGTCGTAAAATTGTCTCACCATGCCATAATAGTATTTATACCGGAAATATTTTTTATATTTGGGAAACAAATTATCTAGATATAGTCATTATTGTTCACAGAAAAAGTATACCGAGTTTGCCTTTCCGCTTCGGTTGTGTGAGTATTTTTAGGTCCAGTTTTAGTTGTACGTCATGACGCTCACTTACCTTGCTCGCGGATGCCATGCGAAGAAATAACAAGAACAGAAAAACTGGAAGGACTACGACGAAAATAATCCCTGGAGATAATCATAACCTTAAATTGCAAGCTTCACCCCTGTTCGTGTTAGACTGGTGGCAGCTAATAAGACCCCCTTTTCTACTGGCGTCTAACCCCTGGAGGGGGGGAACAAGATGGACAAAGGACAAACATAAATAGGCGACTGGTGCGCGACCGAAAAAATCCGCCTGGTCCGGGTATCGAACCCGGGACCTCTCCATTACAGGTGGAGAGCTCTACCAACTGAGGTAACCAGGGGTTAGACGCCAGTAGAGAAAACTGGTTTTATCAGCTGCCACCAGTCTAACACGAACAGGGGTGAAGCTTGCAATTTAAGGTTATGATTATAATGTAATTAAATGCTAGGGTGCAAGCGAGCTGGACAAGAATGACGAAAATAATCCCTGGAGAAGGGGAACAAGAGGGACAAAAGACAAACACAAATCTCCAAACACAGCTAGGTGACTGTTGCGCGACCGAAAAAATTTTTCTACTGACGTCTAACCCCTGGTTAGCTCAGTTGGTACAGCGCTCCACCTGTAATGGAGAGGTCCTGGGTTCGATATCCGGACCAGGCGGATTTGTTTGGTCGCGCACCTGTCGCCTAGCTGTGTTTGGATATTTGTGTTTGTGTTTTGTCCCTCTTGTTCCCCTCCAGGGATTATTTTCGTCATTCTTGTCCAGCTCGCTTGCAACTTTGTATTCAATTGCATTATAATCAAAAACAATTCGGAAGGACTTCATATTTATTTTAATGATATTTTTTTTTAAGTCCTCTCGGTAACTTTTACCGCACTTTGACAGATGCCGACAGAGTCTTGACTTGGACCGTGGCTCGTACATTATGGAACGCTAAAAAGCCGATTTCTAATCGCGTCTTGCAAGAGTTGCAGATGTTTTTAGACAGGGGAGGAATAGCAGACGGACGTAGGCGAAAACGGACGCCGACGCGCAGCTTTCATGTCCGCGTCTGGGCAATGCAGGCGACGATACAGGGTGGTGGGGAATAGCAGACGATGCCGGAGGCTGACGCACGTTTGTTCGCACGGCTATCTGGCGGCGCCAGACTTCCAGACTCGGCGTACCGGATGTCGGGAGAAGGGAGACAATAGGCTTCCGAGCATGTTCGGCCGAGTAATTAAGTAAATCCAGTAGCAATGGAAAACGCCGCTTATTTGTGGGCGGGGCTTAAAACGGGCCGTGACCTACATTTAAATTTACTCTAGCAACGTAAATATTTCACCAACTTTTTTTTTCGTGCAATATTATGAAAAACGACACGTGTCCCAGATATGCCGTTCAAAGAAAAAACGTAGTTTTTTTCACTTCCGTGCTGTTTAATATGAAAGAGCGTAAGCGCATCTTGTTCAGCCTACTACATAGCTGCCACGTAGCGGAGAATGGCCGAAGTGTCAACAAAATTTGTTCAAAGAAGCCAGCGTGTCTACGCGATGTCATTGTTCTGGAGGTTAGTTACACAAGTCGAGTCAAAAGAATCGTTAGCCGTTTCATTGCATCGCATAAATCGGTTCCTTAACGTGTCGTGCAAAAGTTTTGTATGCAGGTAGCCGATGATTGTATATTTCAAAGTGGGAACTTACCCGGGAAAAGAGTACAAAAATACAAACCTGGTTAGGCGTCCTACGGACTTGGTCTGCTATCAAGAGGCGTTTGATTGGCGCAGAGGCGGACCGATAGGGGCAGGTAAGGGTGGAGGCGGGTTCGTCGAGGTCTGTATAAAGCCCCTTCATGTTTCAAAAGTAGCGCAATGTTCGTCGATGCACGAGGCACGTGCCACGTGCAGCCCTTGGGAAGATCATGGCGGCACAGCGCAGCACTGAGCTAGATTTCAGACGCCATGAATTTCCCAGAAGTGGCGCGCGGCACGTGCCTCGAGCATTTCTACAACAATGAATGACGCCACTTTTCCCAGTATAGAGGGGCTTTAGGTCTGTAAAGAGGGGACGTCACGGGCGAAGCGTTGCACACATTTGTTTTGTTGACCTAATCACTGCCGTGTCTCCAAAACTAAATAATTCTACATCTTTTTCCTAAAAAAATACTGGTGTATGACGAGCTCAGGGAAAGGGTTACCGCCCCCCTTCCCTTAAATCTGCCCCTGGTCACAACCCGTTGACAAACAGAAACACACACAAAACGAAACATTAGAAGTCACGCTCCCTTTCAAATGCTCTTTTTGTGATTTTTGTTCTTGTTCATTCGTCGGGCGACGCTAGCTCCAACTGATATGATTATCGCGTTGCCACGGGCGACTGTGCTGTGCTGCGAGAATGCCGCGGTTATCAAAACGGAAAACCGGGATACGTCTGCGAACCGAAGAAGCCCGTCGGACTTCGTTGCTTTCGGCGCGGATCGCAAACATCAACATCAGGATGGCGGACGGGACGCCGCAGCCCGAGTAAGCTGCTGTCTGTTTTGTACTTTGAGCTTTTAATTCCCAGCCTGTAGATGATTAACAACGCACCCACTGTGGCGGTTGCTTTATGTGTTGGCAGAGTCAGCTGAAGTTTGAGCCAAACTTGTGGTCTTTCTTCTGTACATTCGTTGGAATGTGGTGTACGCTACCCGTTGGTGGCGGAATTTATGGCGGTAGTGGTTGGTGAAACGTGTGCCAATTATCTTTGACTGATGTATAGAAGTTTGCCAATTATGTGGCGGTTGAAACAAAGGCTTTATAAAAAACACTTACATAACCCGTAAGGTGAAACACTGCGACAGCTGAGACGTGATGTCGGAGACGCTGTTTCGGACCAGCTGGACAGAATGCATGGTAAAGGTGGGAGCTCGCACCATAAAATCCGCATAGGCGTTTCGTATTAAACCGAGGAACACACCGGACGAAAATTACATACCGTTTTGGAACCAAAAAGGGTGTATTAAGTAGAGAATTTCAGCTGTCTGCGTAAAAGGAGAGCGTATTTTGGCACGTCACTTCGGTACAAATAGTCACACGTGCTAAACGAAAAGCGCCGAATAAACATGGACAAGGATGTAGACAATACGAAGTGCTTAATGTTTTGGCTAATTCTGGGTCACATGGAAACCTATCCCAGTTCACTGCCAGATTGCCCGGCAGGGACAGTTTTACTGACCATGCATATTATTAAGGCGAAAGACTTGTATGTCCCATTACGCGAAAAGGCGTCGGCGTTGTGCCCGAAAGATGGCCATAAAATACGTCAACAAGCACGCGCTGCTCAGGGTCAAAGCGGACGCGCCTCTGAAATAAAATACAAAGAAAACCATAACAACGCAGATGACTCGTCACGGAAGCCGTGAAGCCGGCGGTGGCACCGCGCCTGCGAAGTAGGAGAGCGTGATGTCACCGCTGGAGCGCCGTGCGCGATAGGTGCGCTTCGGACTTCATCTGTGCTTGATGTGTGCTTCGTGCAATGGACTGTGAGGCGACCGCACGGGACTATAATGCTTTCGCATTCCTACGCGTAAGCAGTCTTACAGTGTCCTCCTGTAATTTCTTGCCTATCTTGCATGACCATGCACGTTATCTTGCTTGCTATCTGGTTATCAGCGGCCCGTGGAATGTTTTTGGCGGGGAGCCGAAAATGGCCGGCGTCCATGTGGAACACGGTCGACGGCTCGAAACCGCGTGGTGTTCCACTAACGGCTGTCGCCGTAAATAGCTGTAATATCGCTGCTAAAAAGTGAAAATCGCTTTGGCACTAGCATTTTGCTGCCAAAACTTATTTGGCCCAAGTTGGGCACACAGGATTGGCAAACTTGGTCTAAGTTCTGCATTGATCTAGTGTGCCGCCCAGGATTGTAAATACCATCCTAAATAATTTTGATGTTAAATGGAAAGTTGTAGATTGCCTTGCAAAACAGCATACTTAGTTGGTTAAAAATGGTACGTTTTGAGCTCTGATTTTGTATTTGCCTAAAACAAACAGAAAATAAATTGAAAAAGCGCCTCTTCTAACTACGACTCGCGAGCACGTGGCTTACTTTTTGGGCTGTAGAAAAGCACAGAAATTGTGTCCTGCTGCAATCCCTTCAATCCGGCCTTTTCAGGGCGATCTATGGCTTTCCATTGATGAGACGGCCATTGGAAATATTCGGAGAGTTAAATAACTGAGCCTAATAATGATTAAACTAGGCTCACTCCAAAAGTACTCGCCCCTTCGTAAGATGATCGGTATCAAAATACGGCTGGTATCCTTCGCGGAAGGTGGTTTTTTTTGTAACCTTCGCGTATGTTGAGACACTCGGTGTATATAGAATTTCACGTTTTTAACGCCAGCTGAATCTACGTGTTTACTAATTACCATAATGCAAGACTACCAAATGCCACTTCTTGCCGTCATGTTCTGTCCACCTTCGCTGCTTTTTTACGGCCAAAACAGCCACGGTGTGCTACCTAGTATATTGAGAAATATGTAGTCCTCAATACAACATTCGGCGTTTTTTTTTATAGGTTCAACACCACTTACCATGAAGTGAAGGGATTCACCGAGCTAAGCGTGGATTTCCTGAGATTTACATGCCAGGTGCCGGACCGAGCAAGGTGTAAACATTGCGACTGCATTCCGAAAAGAATATATAACCTTATGTGTCCTCGTCATGGCCTCTGTTCGGACTGCAGAAGAGATTGCGAAGGATATTATTGCGATGAATGTCGTCTACACACAATACCTGAACAAGTAAGCAGATTTGATTGTTGTTCTAGAGCTAGAGGAGAAGAGCGAGTTTACGAAGATGACTAACAACTTTTTATTTCTACATAAGAACCGTTGTGTAGCTTTATTCACTTTTACCAAAATTGTTTTCCTCTGAAGGCATTCCAAGAATCCTTACTCCCCGTCCTAATTTTCATGAAGTAACGTAATTTTTAAAATTAAAACTAATAAGACAGGTGAGCAAATTATTTGGGGTTTGTGTGAAAAAAATGAACCATAAGTTTCTTTCTGAGCAGATATGGCAAAATATAGAAAACTTTAACGCATCGCAACTTCAAACGTTGTCTAGCTGTCCTTTTAGTAGCTGTTTTCCCATTATTTTTGGTGGCGTTTGCCGGTTAAGGTAGCCGCTAAATCCTAAGGTTCAACGATATCATGTTATTCATTTATATTCTGCAAAATGCCTTATTATAAAATAAACCTGATATACGAAACGAGGCAAATAACATAAAATGTTGTTGTCATTAATTCTCCTTCCCTACTATTAATGGTACGATTATTTTCTATCTGAAATACAAGTAAAGAGTAAATTCAGCCCCATGCTCGAGGTGGCGTTAGTGAGGCGTCGGAAAGATGCAGTGTAACTTCGCTCTTCCTACAGGCATGCATCAGCGTGAGAAGCGGTCGGTTTTACTGACTGCAAGCAATCTTACCAAATGCAGAAGCAAGCGATCGTGATCAATTGTTTAGAGTAAACAATGCAAAGGGTACGCAACGCCTGGGGACGATAGTTACTTAACAACAGTGAACCGAGGGCTCTGGTAGATTACAAGCAGAAATATTTGAATATGATAAATACAAGATAATAAATAAAATGCCACAGACAACATTCTAGCCTTTATCCACCACAAAGAACTCTTCCTGTAAAAGTAATATTTTAAATTACGTTTTCTTCCGCGAGCTTTTAGGGAGCGGAACATGTTGCACTTAAAATAAATTTGCTTGAATATCTATTCAGATTAACCAATTGGGAAAATCGTGTTCTTGTCTGCATTGTTTGACGTATTGCTCTGTTATTTTGAAATGTCTTACTTTTAACAACCGTTGGTTTTATTCAAACTGTCTTTGCTTACACTAGACGTAAGTATTCGCTCACTTTTTTCTTGTCATCTTTTTTTAAAGAGCAACTCCCGTCCATACTTTCGATTTTGGGATTATGACTGTTTTTAGCGCAGTCAGCGTCCCTGAATTGCAAGGTGTAATTTTTTTTTTCTCGTTATTGTGCGTAGTTTTAAAGATATCGACGCTTCAAAGTTTTGTATGGGGCGCGGCCAACAAAACCGAAACTAGCCGCTCGAGGCCCCGGCAACACTGCAAATCAGCCGCTATGTGAACGTGACGTCAGGATCGTTCTCGTTCAACGAGTACGCAGGCTGAGCGGCACCTACCTCTGTTGCGCTAGCCGTCTAAAGATAGGAAGTAAGCTGATTTTGTTTTAATTCTGTATGCGTGGTAGTTATCCAGCATATGTAGCAAGAGTTAGTGCGTATACCCAAAAGCTAGCGACTTGAAAAGCCGTGAACTCGTACGGTGCCGTACTCGGCCGCCGCTGCCGTGTGTGCGCTATGCCGTACTCGTCGCTTGTATACCCAAAAGCTAGCGGCCGGAAAACGAGGGAACTCGTTCGCTGCCGTACTCGGCGGCTGTCGCCGTGTGTGCGGTCTTCCGTACTCGTCGCTAGGCCTAAATTGTCATCGGGGCTCCGTGGATGGAGCGGCGTTGCTCTACGCCGCGCTGCCAGTGACGTACAGTACTGGGGGCCCTCTCGCTTTCGTGCTTCGGGTCAGTCCCAGACACGAAGCTTTGAGGCTCTCCAGCGCGGGCCGCGGCGCCCGAACACACGTGTGCTGTGCTGTACACGTCTGTTTTTTCGTTCTTTTTACCTCGGACGCCTAAAAGCGGAAGTCCACACTCCACTCGTCGAATAGCGTTCACCCACACCTTCTTCAATTTCCGGTCCGTTGAAAGCTTGTGAAAAAGCACCTCCTGGTTGCGCAGCGGGTTGTTTGAGCAGCCCACAGCGCTACAAGTTGCACTCGGCATCTTTCGAGGAACAGCTATAGGCAGTATCGGGGAGTTGCTCGCTAAAACGAGTCTTGAAGTCCTCACAAGCAAATAAACAAAAGGCTATACCGAAGCTACACGGGCTACGCATAAAAGCAACGGCTAAACACGCCAATCACAACCCGAAGTAGCGGTGGTAGCGGCTCAAAGAAGCGCACTCCGTGCAACGCCCGGACCGGAGGAAAAAAAAAAGAGAACGATACTGACATCACGGCCCAATGTTGCTTTAGCGATCGGCAACCCGCTGACTGCCCGCTAAGGAGCAGCGGCTCGCGGCGGGGCGCATTTTTATTATCGGCGTTAGTTGAGAATGCGGCGTCCCACGGGCGTAATATTTTGGCTGGGGTCGTATTTTGTGTCACTACAGCGATACCAGTAATTTATTTAATTTTGAGTTTTGGCCGGAGTTTCCCTTTAAGTGTGATCTATTTGGCAGGTGTGTCATATTGAAGGTATAATTTGGTTAACGGGCATTTTAATCGATATATAAGTGGGCATTTTGATTTGCGGCAATAATTAAAATAGTAGACGTTTCTCCCTGGCTCTTTTCACTGCTGAGAAAGTCCTGGGTTGAGACTAATAGTATTAATGAACCAATAAAATTATTTTCAGCTTGGCGCTCTCCGCTCAGATTACAACCTTGATGGTACACTTCTGGTTGTGCAATGTGACGTGTGCGATAAGGAAGTTCTCCTTGGACAGCTTGAGGTAGGAAAATACCAAAAACGGTCCGTTGTAAATCTATGGCGCGTCAATAAAAAAAAAAAAAAAAAGAAAAGATCTAAAGGAACTCAGGTGCCCGATTGGCGGTTGGCGTCAGTATTGTCCAATACTTAAAGATTACGCCACATTTGAAAAAAACAACAACAAAATGCTCAAATTTTATGAGTTATTCTACTCTTGCGAACTTCTCGCAGGTGGCTGGATATAGAGTTGCCACTTTCTAAACTGTTACACTGTGAACAAAAACAAAGCAATAAGTTCTTTAAAAATTGTTTGCCAATATAAGGTGTCAATTGCGTTTGGAAAGTTGGTTTGTGGTGCTTATCAAAGCGATACAACGCAATGATCCTCGCTTACATATAAAAGGATGCGTTTCTCCTAGTGCAAACTCCCTCCTCGCCCCTTGCTGGATGCCACAAGCTAGTTTCCAAGGTTAGGGACCAGGGACAGCTCTCGTTGTGAAGTACAGTCACGTTTCATCACATAGACTTTGTGCATTTTTGCAATATTCGGCTACATATACTCAAACGATACATTGGCGTGAGCAGTTGCTGTAGATCAGCTGGATCATTCATGTGCCTTGTTTATAACGTTACAATGCATTTTAAAAGAAATTAATCAACCGTATGGCCGAATCCGAAACATACCAAACAGCTATTAAAGTTTTCTAACAAGAAATATGAAAAGAGCAGTGGTATAGCATGGTGCCCCCCTAATTACTCACCCGCCCTTCGGTCAGTCTTCATACAAAGCTGAGTATAATCATGAACCACGACAATGACCTCGCAATATAATCTAGCATCTGAATAACACTGTTGGCAACGCATGCATTTGATATCTCGAATCTTTTAGGACCACCTGTGGGAGCACACTAATCAAGGTGACATGGAGTGTTCAAAAGTTCAAGAAACGACAAATCAGGTAAGCGGTAATTTGAGATATGTTGACATATTAAAGGTGAAATAAACTAATCAAGGAGGGTTCTTGGCACTGGTTTAACGTACTGCCGCTCGGACTACAACGGTTTGAAATCTTGATTTCTACGACCGCAGCTATAAAAGTTCAGGAAACTAGATTTGTGGAAAGACATGCCCAGACCCCGGACGCGGAGCACGGTTTGGACATAGCGCGTTTGAATTTTTAATATGTAGTGCGCCACAACTATGTCTTAGTTTGAAAACTACAATCGATAAGGAATTGGATCTATCAAAGGGATTTGATAATAAATACTGAAGATGAGGAAAAACCAACCAGCATTCTACATTTGTAGAACCATTTAACGAGAGTATTGAAGCTTATATCTTAAACAACACATCTTCAAAATAAAGCAATACTAGAAACTGGAGCAGAAGGACTGAACAGTTACACAATAAAATCTGGAAAACAACGTACAAAACAAAAAACAAAAATATCGCTTTTTGTTTTTCGAAGTGACTTGTCTTTAAGCTCCTCGTCTTTCCGAAAAGTGAATGTGCGTAATGCTTATAGTGTACACACGCAGGGATCAAGAAAATAAAAAATGCTAAAAAAGTTTAACGAGTACAATAAGTGGCATTACACCTGTGAGCAATCGCAACCCCACCACGTTCTTTGTGCAATACCTATGTTCACTTTCCTCCTTTTGCGTATTAAAATTAGTGTTAATACACTTAGCGCGGAGGTCGATATCTTCGATAGTAAAAGCTCATTTAAAGATGTCCAAAACACTCAGTTTAATTAATGTCAGTAGTTTTGTTTTGTGCTTGTGTTATTTTGTTGCTTTAGTATGTTTTAAGATAGTATCTGTGTGTACCGGCACTTCGGCTTCGACTGTTCCTGCACACAAGAAAGAAAGAATGATACGTGATATTTTAATTGGGGTGACGCTATAAGCGTGGAGTGTCATTTCACTATTAATATATTACTTGAGTTTTGTAATTTGGTATTAAAATGTTGTGATACATTCCGACGCGTTGCGAAACGTTTCTTGAGGAAACAATAAAAATTAGTCGGGTGACGCTTTCTTCGTGTCCAGGGAACAGCGTATACCGACATCTCTCTTATGAAACAAGCTAATCGCATATTTTGGGCTGTTTTCTACGTTTTTAATTTGTATTACCGCAGTAGGTTCCTTGATGCCCAGTTCTTCATCCATCCTTCAGATCTGAAATCTCTATGCGTACAAGTCTAGTATTCGGGACGTCAATACAAAAAAAACTTGGAATTCTAGATTAGTCTTGCACACGTTTCTAGTAATTCTGTTGCACCTGTACACACGAAAGTTTGGATAAGAAGGGAACAATTCAGCATCTGATATGTCGGGATTCAGCCATGTTTCAGTAAGAACAACGAAGTCGGCGTTACATGTTTGAATCAAGGAATTCACATAATCTCTCTTTGGAATAAGTCTTCTAATGTTAGTAAAGAAAATATAATTAATAGAAGATAATGAATTGATAATATGGGGTTTCGCAGTTTGATTGTGAGTGGGCCAACGGGAAAAACACCGGCATTGCTACGTGCATCTTTCAGTAGCCGAGCCAATAGCGTCATTGAATACAAAACACTTGCCATCTATAAACAGTTTATCGTGACGCAGCTGAAAAGGCGTTCCCTTTGGTCTGGCAAAATCAAAAGACGACAGCGTGCAAGCCTTGCGGGAAGTGGAAAATCTTCGCTAATTACAACGCGTGAGCCCTTAAGCTTGTGCGCAGAACCAAGAATGCCCTCTTCTTCTTCGGACGATGAAAACTTGACAATGATGGGATGACTTTTCTGCGGATAGAATGCTTCTAAACGGGGAGCTCTTTTAATTCCGGAAGGTACGAATTTGATACCAAGTTTCTCGCCTACTTATCGTCGCGATCAGTCGGCTAATTAACAAAGACATGTTTCTCTTAACTTCTTAATAAACCACTGCTGCCAAAGCGGTGACGCGCCCGAGCGAGCGTTTGGTTCCTTATCATTCGCCTTTTTCCCTGCTAGCGTTGTGCCTGTTGAACCAGCGGTACATTTAACGTAGTGCTGAGTTTCTGAACGGTGCCAAGCAAGTTTGAACCCTATGTTTACATTCAATAAAAAAATAGCTAAAACGTTTATTTAATCATGCGACTTATCGTGGCGATCAGCCCACTATTTTATATCTCTGGCCGTCCAACACCCTCGCACGCACCACGTTAGTGTATCCTTCCGGATTTTTAAAAACAAATCTAATTCCTAAAAATAAAAACAAAAACACTCTTAGCTCCAGGGCAGTGAACAGGAGGCGCTTCAGTCGGCTGCTAGTCAGCGCGGCTGGTGGCCAAAAAGGGCAACTTTGGGAAGGCAAAGTCACCTAGCAGTTGGACACGAGCGCTGCCTCGCAGTTCGGAACAGCGCTCGGAGGTTCACGCTCAAGATCGGGTCCAATGATCGATGCCGTGGGTCGTCTCACAGTTGCGAAAATTCGCATTAACAAATCATCACTTGTGGGTATAATATAATGAAAACATGTCCTATCTCATCCTTTTTATTGTGCGCACCGCTAAAATATTATGATTTCGCTACATACCAGCACCAAACCCACTGCAAAAAGTTTAAAGGGTTGTGAAACTAAAGGCTATCCTAAGAATAACTGTACCGACGATGTTTTCCTGATGTTGTTAGTAGTCCGGAGGGCATTTTTGTTATGTACGAAAGACTTTATTAACTAATAATAATAATAATAATAATAATAATAGTGATGCCGGTGATGATGACGATGACTACGACGATGATGATAATAATAATAATGATGATGATCTTTCTTCAAATTGCCACGAAACAAATACAGTTGTCTTTAGTATATAGTCAACCTGTATGAGCAAGCACAGGGGACGAACACAGAGAAGTGTGCAAGGACAAGGGGAGCTTCCAACTGTTCTTGCCCTTGTCCACTCTTTCGTGTTCGTTATCTGTGTTTGTGTACACAAGTTTACTTCCTACCATGAACCAACTAGCCCAATAACAAGACTTGCTAAAATGGTCTTTTGATTGGAGCACTTCCATAAAAACACCCAAAAAGAGAGAAATACATACTGGATTACATTGTAGACGCGCTGATACAAATATAGTGCAAGACGCAAATAAAAACACAAAATAGGTACTCAATATCGAATTAATGTACAGGCGGCTGAACTCCAGGCTGATCCTCGGATGTCTAGATACTAAGTGGCGACACTGTTGTAAAGATTCTGAATCCGAGAAAGGAATAAAATGTTGCAAAGTGAGCGAAAAAAAAAAATGCCGAGTAGTCCCGAAGTTGACATAAAAATTAACTTTACAGAGATATGAGCTGAGTCAATATCGCTATTTGCAACCTTATGTAAAAGAAGAAAGTCACGCGCCTCCCTCCTTCTTGACAAAAGTGAAAGATATTTTCCTTGCAGATTTCATAGTTAAAAACAAAAATATCGCATTCTAAGGGAATGTCGTAAGCCATACGAATAATGTTTTTCTGAACTCGTTCGATATTCATGGCTTATGTTTTTGATAAAAAAATTCTCATCACGGTCGCTATATCAAATCGCGACCATACTAAAAAGTTGAAAATATTTGAGCTAAAAGGGTCCCTGAAATTTAAAGAACTCGTGAAAAAAGTCCCAATACTCTTAGTTAAATATATAAAATAGCGCAAAAAAAACAAAAAAAAACGGGACAAGTAAACAAAACAAGTGATAACTTTCAACTAGTTTTACTCAGGAAAAGCGAACCGTATATAAACACGCCACACGCGAAGCGGCAACACATAAAAGTTACCACTTATAGTATCCCATCATTCAAAAACTGAAATTCATTCCCATGGAGCACAACTGACATGTCGCTGACACATGCCGTCCCACTTTTATTATTATTATTATTATTATTAAGACGACGACGACGACGATGATTATTATGAACGCCTTCAAAAGTTCGCGAGCGACAGTCTCACGGCTTCTCCTCAGAATCCTTATCTGCTGAAGTCGTGGAACACAGCCGCACGTGTTGCAATGTAGGTAAATGCGAGCCGTATTTAATTTTTACTGATAGTGCCTGCTCCCGTGCTCGGTTATTGACGCACCGCCCCGTCTGGCCAATGTAGACTTTACTCCAACCCAGTGGGATATCGTAGACCACGCCCACTGTACAGTTCACGTAAGGGGTGACGCGTTTTTATCATATGTCCTTTTTGCTTTTCATCAGAAATGCGGGAGCACAATTCAGCCAACTTCGTTTTTGGGGCAGAAAACACAACGAGCGCATCGTACTTGTTTTGTTGTTTACCACTTTCTTTAGATTGTGGGCAAGGTTATGGACGTACGGGATAACTTCTGGTCTTTTTGTTTTTTGCATCGTTGGGATCTTTCTTTTAAACCCCTTCATTTTTATAGGGCAGTTTCCGCGACAGAAACCAAGACCGAACACGGGAAGCCAGCCAATTTCAGTCTAGAAATCTGGTATTTAAAACTAGCATCCGCCTGGTGTTCGCAGGACTTCAGCAGTGAAGACTTCAGGCACGAAGTCGCACTAGCCCTCCTAACCTTCTTCGAATGAGTTCACCAAAAGGAAGTAACTCTTTGCGTGCGCGAGGTCGATACACCCGACACACACGTCGCTCGGTGATGGCGATGTTAATATCTAAAAACTGCAACTGATTGTGGTTTCGGAGCTCATGAGTAAAACGCAAACCTTTCCCATGTTGTTCGAAAGACGACAGAACGCTTTGTACTGTAACAAAGTGCATCACAGAGGTGCTAGTTCTTAAAAGTAGAAGAAATCTTCCCCGCATCTAAAATCCCCAAGAACATTGTCAGCACCGAAGACTAAATTCAATTTACGATAAACAGAGGACAGAAAAATGTTACAAAGCACAGGAGGGACACATGACCTAATACAAATGCCCTTGCGCTGGATAAACAGCTTGTCATCGAACGACATAAATGTGC